ATATGCTTTGAGGAAGCAAACATATAGCTGCAGTCAGTGCAATATGAGAAACACAAAAATTAATGTAGTGTACAGTCTTTTACAGAAATCATTTCAAATTGCCAGTCATGGGCAAGGGAAACACAGTTCTTAAATGTCCAGGCTGTAACAGTTCACTATTTGCTGGTATTTACAAGAAAATGAGAGTGTGTGATAGTGCCCGACATCTCCAGCTAGCCAACTCCGTCCTTTACCATTTACACAGTACTGTACAGTATTCCACCTCACGATCAGGCTTGATCAAAAGACAGTAACTTACAAAACTACCTATAAATTACAGAGTACTCTAAATTATTGTGTATTAAGCTATGTAATATTATGTACTCGTACACACCTGAGTTTACATTGTGTATGAGTAGCATCAGTTATTCACAGTTGGGCAAACAGATACAAAGTATTAATGTATTCTGGAAATTTGTCAGACTAACCAGTAGCCATACCATTTTGCCACAGTGACACATTTTTGCAACCTTATGTATAAACACCCTTTAAATCATCAGTATTTTAGTGAAATCTTTACGCATTGTCATATTGTGAACTGGAAAGTTCCTGGACTGTTGTTGTAACTATATCAGCGAAAGAAGATGAGAGGGGAGGTCAAGGTCACACTTCCCCAAGCCTATTGCATCAGTATGCCACGTGACACTGCACTGTGAACACACATTTTTACATGAGTGCTTTTCGACTTCATGTTTCATTTTGTCTGCGATGGACGGTAAAATCGAGCAATGTGTCTGCATAATGTTTTGCATGAAGCTTGGTAAATCTGCAACCAAAACCCCTGAAATGCTTCATGAGGCTTTTGGAGAACATTTTTTAAACCAGACAGCGGTTTTTGAATGGCATTAACATTTCAAGGCCAGTTGAGTGTCAGTTGAAGATGAACGTTCAGGGCACTCAAACACAAGCAAAACAACAATATGTTGAAAAAAATCGAGAACTCATTCAGAAAGACCATCGCTGAACAATCAATGAGCTTGCAGACATGGCTGGAATCAGTTATGGAGTTTGTCAGAAAATGTGAACATGCACCACATTGCTCCATCATGACAACGCACCTACCCACACGTCCCCGAAAACCAGAGTTTGTGACTAACAACATGGTTATCATTCCCCATCCTTCCTAATTGCCAGACTTAGCCCCCTGTGATTTGGCTTTGTTTCCGAGATTCAAAATGAAACTGAGGAGATAATGTTTTGAAAGAGTGCCTGACATCCAAAGGGAATCGCAAGCTGTACTCGACAGCATTAAGGAACATGACGTCCACGGTGCTTTTGAATCATGGAAAAAACAATGGGATCGCTGTATATGTTCAAAAGGAGACTATTTTAAGGAGATGGCAGTCAAAATTGCATAACTTAAGCCAGGATTTCTTTTTTGGCCTAGTCCAGGAACTTTCTGATACACCTTGTACTAAATGTAACATATGTCATCATATGCTATGAGAACAGATGATGAACTATGCACCATGTCATCAGTTGCCAACTGAAAGCATTTAACAGTGGAGATGTTACATTGGAAGTGTCCAGACATACGTCTGAATGTATTAAATGACATGCCAACAAGTAAAACATTAACGTTCTCTTTGGGTACACTTAACTTGCTCCAGCCCATGAATATGGTTTCCATTTAAAATTCACATGTATTATTAGTTTTTTAATACTGTTATGTAGTTTATAGTTGGAATATTTTACATGGAGAGGAGAAATTCAGTGTGTGTGGACTACACTGGTGAGAAAAAATACTTGATCCTCAAAATGTTAAAATTTATTTTTGTGTAATACAGGAAGTTAGAAAAATGCACAGGTGCAAACCACAAAGATGTATGCAATAAAATAAGTAATGGACAAGCTGCCGTTAGAATGCTATATTCAGTCTTATTTGATGTAACTGTAAGTTTAATTTAAACAAAATCTATTCCTTTGGTACAGAATCTGTAACACCATGCAGAGCAGTGTCATGAGCAGAAAATATATACAAAGGAGAGGTGTCAGGAAGACAACAAAACATCTGTAAAGAACTGTAAAATGACTGATATGATGCAGACATATTTGTCACACGGATGATAACAGATTACAGTGCCAGGCATTGAAATGGGATCCAATGGAGAACTGCAGAAGGGGCAGATTACAACAAATTTTGAATGAGACAATAATGGAGCTGAAGTGGCAGTGATGCCTTTCTGCTGCTGATACAGAAAATCATGAGATATGGAAGCCTAATGCAATGAACCCTTGAAATGAAAAAGAATTTGAGGAGGAGGAGAAGAGGATAGGAAATAGGGTGGTAGGATGTGGACTGGAGTCATTGGCCTCAAGACAGACTAGCTGTGGGCTCCTGTGAACATGGTAGTCATCTTTGGGTGCCATAAAAAGGTGGGTAATTTCTGTAGTACTCAAGCAACTACAAGATTCTCTAGGACTCAACTCCATGAAGTTACACAGTTGGAGTTTATACATATAGGAATAATTCAAATAGAACACTTTGGTATATGAGAAAATACATTTTACAGGTGCACATGTTCTTGAATTGATGTGTATGGGGGTAATGAAATTTAATTTGCATGTGCCATGAGTGCAGGTGCACAATTTTGAACCCGTACGATACTGAAAAATACTGAAAGGATGCTAAGTATTGGATGTAATATGATAAGTGTTCAGTGGGATGTCACTGACTTAACACTTTGCTTGCAAGAACTGACTTGTATGTAAATGGGTGAACTGCACCCACAGCATAACTATCACATACATGAAATGAGTGAAGTATGGGACTGCACTGTATGGTATGCCTGTAAGCACATTATAATAGTAACTATAAAAATAAATTATAACATACTAAAAGAGTGAAATATACTGCAGGGTAGTGGAATGTACCTAAGGCTGATTAGAAATACAGTCATTTATATCTTGGTTGATCCTGTAACTGCTGTGGTCTTCAGTTGTGGATGAAGGCGCTCGCCACATATAGTGAGTTGGTCTAAAAATGTTTTATAAAGACTAATGGACCAACTGGGAACACAATTCCTGAGAGCAAAAAATACTAGGACACTGAATGTCTACAGGATGCAAACATGGAGGAAGACTTGTCTGGAAGTCTTGACAAATAACCCTTCCTCCATTTGACCCAGTGTCAAAATGTGATATAATATGGGGAGCTTAACGAATCTGAAACATTCAGAAGGAAATGGTGATGGATGGAAAACAGTTGTAAAACTTCTGAATACTGGAAAGGGCTTGTAGCACCCAGTCCCTGAGTTCAATAATAATAATAATAAAGGTAAGGCTATCCCTGTAACAGGCCCTGGAGGCCCATAAGGTTATGAGATGTCAGGGCTCCCACATTTTCTAGACAATTGGCTCACAGATGGCTGTGAGGATGTCAGCCTTACATGGCAGCTGCCCTTTACCCCCTGGAAGATTACTGGTACTCATTTCTGCTAGAGGCTGAGTCAACCCCAGGTCCATAGTGTGGCTGGAACAATGAGGTCAACTGAAGATTCCAATGACCTCATTGGGAATTGACCCCACGACCTTCTGGCTTGTAGCATAGTGCCTCAACCAACTATGCTACTGCGTGCCTCAATAATAATAATAATAATATATTCCACTGGCATGGTGCAGAGTTGCACTTAACATAATAAAGTATAAATCTGTAAAGTATGGTTAAATTAAATGGTCCAATAGCATCAGGATACAGTGAATTTAAATGGCGCTCAGGCTCAGAATCTCTATGCATATAAGAAGTCATTGTAAAAGTGAAGTGTCATTATACCAACAGCCAACCTAACGGAATGTTTGGTTCTCTGAAATACTTTTCATGCACCCAGCCTATGTCTACAAGAGACAGCCTAAGCTATCTTATTAAGCCTCTGGCTATAGTGGCCCAATAGTCACTGAACCAAAAACCATATAAACTGTGTTGCTTACTATATCATTTTGTGTATTTTTCTTGTCAGAGTGATATTGCCACTTGATTTGTGCACTTAGTACATGAAACATAGCTACCCATATCATGACCCAAATATTATTTTGCATTTTTTGCACAGCACAAAATAAAAAAGCATATTGGGATGGTGTCTGTCTGGCTGGCTCTTCACTCACATGATACAACTTGAGAATCAGTGGATGGATTTAATTTTGCTACAGTGGGTAATAAGAGTGCGCAAGACATACAATATTGTAAGTTGAGAGCAACACTAGTCCTACTGCTGAGATATGGCAACCATGGTAATTGGTAGCAACAACAGTTACCACAGAAAGAACAGGAACGGTAACAACAGAAACCATAGTGACAAATTTTAGAGCTTTATGATACTTGAATGCAAATTCAGAACACCAAGTTGCATAGGATGCATCTGCAAATTGCGCACTGCAAGATGGATTGCACCTTTACAGTCTTGTTTTTAGCAGTCAGTACTTAAAGTCATTTAAGCTACCTAACCAAGAAGAGGGTTTTCAATATGAAGCTGTAAAGAAAATGCCCAAGAGGAAGGCTGAGTTCAAGATGGGAACAACAGCTTCAGAAAGATATCATACAACAGAAACGATGACCATTAGAAGAGATTGAAAAGGAGTTTTGAGAACGAGATAAAAATTGAGAGGATTGATTGCAAGATGTCTCACATAAAGAGGACACTTGAGGAAGAAACAACTCTGTGATGAATATATAATCAGCTGCTTAACAAAGTGGATAAACCACAGAAAACATATCTTCCAGATGTATTCTTTTCTATTTTATATGCATTATTGCCCTTGATGTTCATTTGTTGTAGAATCACAATAGACATCACAGTCTGTGTCAGAAATTGTATTTCCTTGAATTTTTTTAAATGCTCATTGTACTGAAAAATGTTTGAAATAAATTGTTGTAGATCTTCATGAGATGTGTATTACGTACCGGTTTTGTATACAATGAGATATTTTAAAGAAATTTTCATAAGTTCACTTTGAACTTTATGTGAAGTAGGCATTCTTAAAATATCTTTCAGTGAAACCTGCACTTAAAGCCCAAGTAGATATACATTTGTATGACACACTTCTTATTCAGAATGGCCTGAAACTAGGGTATGCTTACTTTTCAATCTTTCTTTAGGATATAGCATTGTGAAAGTCAATGAAAACCAGCAGTACCTGGAATTATATGTGAGACATCTGATAAATCCTTTGAAAATATGGCAAAGTTCAGGCATTTAGTAAGCGAGCTTCTTGCACATTTGTGAGACATGCCTAAAACATCAATTCTAGTGATAGTGTCCAACAGAGAGCCTATTACTACCAGCTTTCATCATATATTTATGTCTCAGTTACCTCTAAAAACCAAGGATTTTATTTATTTATTTATTAATTTACTTTACTCTGTTGATAGACTTTTCAATCTGACAAATTTAATATGAATTATAATTTGACAAAAAATTTGGTCCTTGTACCACTTAAATCCTTTGTTTCCTGCTGATGATAGTGGAACTATTAATTCAAAACCCATTACAGTGGATCAAAACTACACTACATTTTAATAAATTAAAGTGATACTTATATAAGTCATAGTGTTCTACTCCATTAACGTGACAACAGACAGCAGTAATGAGAGATGTTGATGGATTTTCTTCCTGTTATTGTAGAATACTGGATGTATTGCTGATTGTTGAGTATTGTAATATCCTTTTCTCGGTGAATAATGCAATTAGTTACATAATTCAGTAGTCTTTATACCCATACATTCCATGTGACATATACGTATAGCTCAAGAATATTTACATTTTTATGCCTTTCAGTTTTAAATGTATAGACTCACTGCTTGCTACCATGTCACCAAATCTATGTTGAAGTTTTGAGGTTTCCACAGTGATGATTGTTGAGATTGAGGTCTTCTGGGTTGTGACACCATGTGGTCTTGAAGACAGATACCAATATTCTGAAGAAACATGCTACCTTCATCTCCAGAATTGAACTGAGTAGGTTCAGGAATTAATGCAGTTATGTGGGCAGATTGCAAGGAATATGGTCATGAGACACAAGAGAAAGGTTAAGAAAATGAGCTTGATTCAGATCAATCAGAAGAAAGACTGGAAAAATACCCTGAGTGTGCCCGTAAAAGGGCCATGTTTCCTGTCCATTTTTCCATTGGCCCAGATCAGGCTCCTTTCCTCATCCCTCCTTCAGGTCTCATGACCACCGTTCTATAATCTGCCTGAACCAACACACTTCAACTCTGAAGATGGAGTCAGCACATGTATCTGAAACATTAGTATCAGCTTACAAGATGACCAAGTGTCACAATCCAGAAGACCTCAATCTGGAATTTGACTTTTCTTCACATAATTATCCTGGAGATTTAACTGTTCTTTAATTGCTGTAGAAGTTGGTTTATGGTGAGAAATACTGGATCCTACATATACATGTTTTTCAAGTTCATGAAGTAACTGATCTGTAATACTGCCTTCTTGTTGCACTTGGAGCAGTACTTGCTTTGCTAAAATATGTTCAATCTCTTCATAAAAAGGGTTCAGAGTAAACCAGAGTCCCAGGGCACAGCGGCGTCCCCTCTGCACACTGCGCACTCCATGTGGGTTCTCACTTCCTGCTGAGAAGCCAACCAGTCTGCCACAGCGTGGCTTCACTAGACTCTGAAAAATGAAAGCATATGTCAGATTATAACTGCTCTTTTGGATTCTTGAATTCTTTGGATGGTGTGATACCATGATTCTGAACCCTGGCCTGGCAACATCTGTCCCAGTGATTCATAATTTATGGAGACTCAAACTTCAAAATTGAGGCCTCATTATGATAGGATAGTTCATAATTTATCAAACTTGTAACTATGCATGTGTAACTAGCCTTGGGGATTGCACGCAATTCATGTTCACTATTCTGAAAACTTAGGATGCTTATATGATTCATACTAACCTATAATGTGGCGCTGCTTATGCTGCCCTTTCTCCAGTCTCACTGTAGTTTAGAAAGAGGTTCTGGTTAATAATCTCACTTGGCGCTTAACACATGGTGACTTGAGGTTCCAAAACATATTTTTGAGATGGCCATTTGCCTAGACATAACTTTCTTTGTGTCTGTGTATGTGGTTATAGTGATTGTTTTGAGTAACAGTATCAAATTGCAGTGCATTTTAAGTTATACTTCAGTCTTACTCATAAACTTTATTCACATTATGGGTATGTATATGTACTGAAAAAGGAATGAGTTTGAGGTTTGAACCTTGAGGCCATATCTCTGAAACTTAGCAATTACAAGTACTTCTTTTCTGCAGTGTATAGTCATAATACCTATTCTGGTCTCAAAGGTCACTCCTGTATTTGCTCAGTCTTCCATGAGTTCTAGATCAGTTAGGTTTATATTTGAATGTAATCTGGGGGATCAGTCACTATTTGTCCATTGTATACAACCACTTCAGTTGATTTTAAAAGTACAGTCGGGAAGAAATAATGAAACTACTAACAATTAATAAAATTCAATATGTAATTCTACACTCAGAATTCTGTCATTAATTACTACAACAGAACCTGGATTAAGCAGAAAAATGTCTGTCAGAAAATCTTTCTGATTCTGAGAATATGGAAGAAAAACTAATATAAAATTACCTCTCATAAACAGGAAGCATATAATGAAGAAAAATAATGCATTGAATACCATTTTTACTCACATAAGTTTGTTCTTTATTGCTTTTCCTGGAATTTATGTGAGAAGAATATTCCTGTCACATGGGAAAAATATCCTGACCATCAATAGAATATGTATAGAATACACTTCAATAAATTACTGGAAAGGGTCAAAATATTTACATGTACTGTGTGTCATCATCTACTCTGGAGTCACAAAGAAAGGAGGTTGGAAGAGGGGTTATTAGTGTGATACATTCTGTGCATGCTGTACTCAGTGCTACAGTTCAAAATAACATTTTATGCACAGGATCAGCAGTGTGCATGTACATCTCAATGGTGTGAACCCTGGTGTGCAGAAGTAATAACATACTCCACAACACAGAATAGGAGATAATTTCCTGCTTTAGCAAATATGATAACAAGTAGAAAAATGAGTTTTGTGAAGTCTATGAACAAAACAGCAATAGAAACAGCCAAATATACTGGCAGAAGCCCATGTGTAAGTCTACTAATCACAAAAATTTTCAACCAGTGGAAAACAAGAAGTATATTATAAGCAGATGAACAAATATATTATTTGTTGGCATGTTATTGTGTAGAATAGAAATGACATGGGATGACTGTAGTATCAGTCTTCTAATAAGCTCTGCCCTCTATATTTTAATGAATATTTACAGCTTAGGTAATGTTTAGGTATAACTCTTTTTCAATGGAAGAAGAGGGCTCCTGGGAAGATTCACTTGGATGACTTAAACAAGAGAGTAAACTTGCTGGTGACAGAGGAATTTTGTATCACAAAGAAAGTAATGCCTCTGGTGCAAAAACTTCTCCATGTTAGACAAAAAAAAAATTTGAATGGAAAAAGAGTACTTAGCATTTTTATTCATTTCTTTATTGCCTGATATTATTCTAAGTTTATTTACGAGTGTATGAACAGTTTGTTTCTATTTGGAATTGGACCTGAACATTCATTTCCTTGTGAGCTCACATGCTATTTCAACACAAAAAGCAATGCAACTGATATGCAGCAGGTTCTCAAATATCCTCCTTATAATCTGATGGTTGGTACTTTGGTATTGTATTAAACATACCTGAACATTTTTTGCAGTTAAATCTGTAGCAAATATGAATTCTCCTCCCTCAAAATCCTCGTTCAGATACAAAATGGCACTGTAAGTACAGAAAAATTAAAATAAGTAACATTATTCTATGTCTAAAGCATGTCTGTGGGTATCATACCTTGAGTAGGCAACCTTACCGAAGAAATGTCCCGTGTGTTCAACACAATCTTCAGTATGGTGATTTCAGTTATCGTTCTATGTTGAAAATAGAATTTACTTATTTTCTAATGATAAAATAATGATCTAATGATGATACACCCACAGAGATGTTTTAGACACAGTTTGTCTGCTTGATTACAATCTACAGACAGTGATGTCACTGATGACTCAAACTTATATCCTTCCTATTTCAATAAGCATTTTGAGCTGATTTGTGTATGGTTTGTACTTGATTCAGTTTCTAGCTAAAGGACAGACTATCCTGCTTTTCTCATTTTATATAAATGATAACCATAAAATAGGCCATACCTACTACTTCCTCAATTCTTTGCAGTTCACCATATATGTAATCATCCTCTCATATTTTGGCACTAGGTCACATATGCAGCTGACACAGTGTCATTAAATAATTTATGAACTGACCAATTCCTGTGATCTATACATTTATTCCTCATTATAAGAGCTCAATTCAGTCAGTAAAATTAGCATGCTTGCATAATCTCATAAGGAGGAAACTGTCACCCATGACTTCCTGTTAGATCACCAAATCACAGATAATGCTCCTTTAATCGGTCTTTTATGGGCGCAAGGATTTTGGGAGTGATAAACCAGTAGCAGCTTCCAGTTTCCCATTACCACCACAAAGTATTAGATGGTCCTTTGGTAGTTTGAAGTCTGATGCCTATGAGAGCATTTTGTAACAAAAAAAAAAAATCTGCTTTGATGAATATCCTCCCTCAGTAACTTCTGCAACTCCTTTAGAAAAGGCTCTGTTGCCTTCATACCTGCACTTGCTTTTTTTTTTTTTTTGGCCTGCTAAGTAAAGACTATGCAAATCTGCATAGATCTTCAATCACTCAGACCAGCCTTGACTGCCTTTAAATGCAAGGTCCTTCATACCAGCTGCACTTTCTTGCTAAGACTTCTTCAGGTCCTCAAACAATGAAAGAGCTCTCTCATGTATAATGAGGAAGCTGAGATTCATGTTTGGTTGGTTATGACTGTCAGTCCAGCACCGTTAATATTCTCTCCAGTTTCCCCATTAGTGCCTCGCTTGGTCTTCTTATACATTCCAGTTTCATGCCACCAAAACACATTTCTGCAACTTTGCAAAAAATGTTTCACACACTTATTGAAGATTAGTTCATGGCAGAGCAAATGTCTTCTCACTGTTCTCCTTTTTCATGTCTTCAAATTATGTATAGTTTTTATGCCACCATTAATAGTCTCCTTCTTGGTTTCAATAACACCAGAATTATTTGCAACATGTTTTTGATGCAAGATTCACAAAATAAAGTAGACTTTAATAGATCAAACCCCCCTCCACAAAGATCACTATACAAGGATGACGTGAACATAAAGAATGACACGGATATTGTTTGCTAATAATTACTTAACTCACAGAATATGGAAATCAGTGCATTTCGGAAGCACACAGAAACTTTCAAGACTCACTTTATGTCTATAAGTGTCTTACATTTCTTCTTTCTTTCTGTAGAGTTTCTGAAAACAGAAACCTTCTCTGCATATATGTCACAACTACTCCATTCATTGTCAGCATGTTGATTATATACTGATGTACGAATGGAAAGGTTTAATGCCTACCAAGTTTTGTCTCAGACTGTTTTTTATGGAATCAGTATTCGATGTGATGAATGTAAAGGTTCGTTAATTTTTTCATGCCTCTCAAAAATATCTTCTCATATGCAAATTGGTAGGACTACATTCATGCCAGATTGATGTGAAGTAATTTTGCCAGGAACATTGTAAATTTATGTATTTATAAAGAAATTTTAAAAGATTGTGTGTGTCTTTAAGTAAGTACTAATAGCAATTGACTGATAATAATAAAATTCATATTTGTCACCATGTTCTGGTATGGGCTGCTGTATCATAGATTAGGCAGTTAGTTGCTTCTCACTGCAAGGGCCCACATTCAGTCACAGGGTAATCCATGTGAGATCTGTTGTGGTCAAAGTATCACTTGGGCAGGTTTCCTTTGAGTACTTCAATTTTCCCCTGCCAGTTATAACTTCATCAATGATCCATTCTTATCTATTATCAGCAGATGGTGTAACAGGTCCATGTGTGGTCACAGTTCTGAGGGACTGAGTCTCATCAAAGTCTGATAGAGGTTTCAGGAGCAGAAAACTGTGATAAAGACAGAATTGTGTGCTTACAAAACATTCTTTTCTCTTTGGCCTCTGTAAAAGTAACACCTAATCAGGATTCCACATGTGAAATGCTTTTGTTGACATTACCTGAAGTCTCTCCATGTGTATGCAGGTGGACTCTTAGGACATTCTCCATTCTCCAGTAAGTTGCAATTGTCAGCATGGATGGCATGACTCATATCTGATCTATTGTCTGGAGAATCTATAACAAAATATCTCTCAGTTAGTCTTTAAACAGTTTAAGAATATTTCATTAAATTTCTTCAAGTCAAAATTTTGTTTACATTACACATGAATGTCTGAATTCCCCCAGCATTTCATAATGTCTATGATGTCTTGGTTATTTCTCTACAAATTCAAGGCAATGATTCAAACTGTATCAGGAACAACTGGCCATTTCATTGTGTTTGGATTCCAAATATGTTTGGCTCTGAAATTTAATGAATCATTTGGCCAATTTACAAAAAAATTTGGTGTGGCAATTATCCTATTACACGCTACTCTAATTTCATACTATCAAATTTCATACAGCTAGTAATAAGAACACGATGGATGCACAAATCTCTGATATGGTTGTGACACTGGCAACATTTAATGCAAGGGTCTAAAACGATGTACAGTAACAGATCTTTCAAAAATATTAAATGGTTGAAGTGGAAATTTTTTTCAAGAATATAAAATAAAATGGCAGGCTGCATGAAATCTATATTCATTTTCCAGTCTGATGACAATAACCAATGCACAAGTGGAACTGAGCATTACATATCTGATATGGAGGTAATTCATATTCATATTTTTATTGGTTCCAGAAATCCACATTTTGCAATACAGCTTCCAGATATAGAAGAAGTTAAATTATTTGTATAAAAGTCAACAATACTATAACATTTAATTACATACACAAACTGTGTACATGTCCAACATACCATATAAAACTATATTAAAAATTTAAGACAACATAAATTCCCCAACAGAGTAACCAATTCAATCCATTTCACATCAATCAAACAATCAACCAACCAATCCATTCTTCATTCCTCGTCAAATCACTGTCATAGGAAAACGTTCCATACACATTAAACATACAATAATTAAATTTCTATAATTAAACATAAATACCCCCCTTTCACAAACATACCATCTTTAATTTAACATATATTCCTCTACAGAATAAAACGTATGTTGTACCAAATATGACCTCATCACTTTTTAAACTGTCTCATTTTTTCTATCTCCATAATTTTATTTGGTATTTTATTGTATAATTTTATTCCCATGTTCAGTACTCCTTTCTTATAGGCATTTGTTCTGCAAAACTGAGCATGGAGATTTAACTTCTGGCGTGTATTGTGATTATGAACTATGTTATTTTGATCTAACTTTTCTAAATGTAGTTTAACATGGCATACTATTCCAAATATATACATAACAAGGTAGCGGAAGTAAGTTTAAATCCTTAAAAAGTTGTCTACATGATGCTAATCTACTCACACCACTAATTATTCTAATAATTTGTTTCGGCAATTTAAAAATTTTTACTTTATGGGTTGCTACCCCAGAAAATTAAACCATACTTAAAATAAGCATGGAAGTGAGCAAAGTAAATACTCCTTATAACCTGTCGGCTGGTTACATCACTAAGGGATTTTATCATGCAACAGACTTTATGAAGTTTTGAGCTTAAGACCATCATATGTGCTTTCCACTCCATATGTTCACCAACATGTATACCAAGAAATTTCGTTTCACATTTATAGGAGATCTCCATTTTGCCAAATTTGATTTGAGGTTTCATCAAATCTCTTTCTTGTCTATTATGAAATGCCATTGCTATTGTTTTCTCAGTATTCAATACAAGATTATTTGCATTGAA